TGCTTTGTCATCTCTCACCTGCTTGCCTTTTGCCGATGACAGTCCCTTCTCCTGTGCTCAGGAATCTTCCGTCCTCAGATTTGATAGCCCCCAAACGGATTCCTCTCCTCTCTCTGATGTCCATGATTCCCGGTGTCCAATAGAGTGGGGTGCAGTCTTCTTCTCAGTCAGCAGGTGACCATAAGCAGCACATTGCATCCTCTGGCCAGAACCACCTTCAGATACTATAAAATGAACTACTGGCTTTCTAGGAGAGAAATTCTCCTCAAATCTGGTTTAACTGAAATGGTAACATTTAAATGCCTGAAGATCTTACACGATCTGTCAGATGCAGCTGGCGTAGAAGAAAGAAAACACATATGCGGGGCTCTCCCAGGAAGTTAACATGTGAAAGCAGCATACGCTGAGACAGTGAGATGTAGGGGAGTCTGGAAAGTGTCTTGAGATCTTAAGTTTGTTAAAGAAAAATCTTACAAGGGCAGGCCATGATTTAAAAAACAAAACAAGAGCAACCCCTTCGGGCCTCCTCTCACTGTGGGAGCTTTTCTGTCCTCTCAATCAATCCTGCTTTAAAAAAAAAAAAGCCAAAGCAGAAAGTGAATCTGCAGCTCCGGCTCCTTTCTGTGCTTTAGGACCACACTGCCCACCAAAACCACGAGAAGAGAACCTGGGATCACGGACCGCTCAGGACACGGGGCACCATCTGGACTTGTTAGGCCGCTGCCATTCAGCCTCATGGCGCCCATGGTGTTCCCCTATGAGCATGAAGCCCGTGAAAACTGCAAGGACTACCCCTATTGACAGTGGCTGGGCTTTTCATCATCTCTTACTTGAAAAAACACATCCCTAAAAATAGATGTGAGGATTCCTTGGACTGGCTGGCACCCACCCTAAGGAAGTTGGAAGCCCACAGGATGGGATGACTGGATTGGTTTAAAACCATCAGAAACAGAATCCAAAACACATAGCACTCTCACTGGGTTTACTCAATACTTGAAAAGTCTCAGTTCAAGAGGAGCAAGCCCTGCTTAGAAGTAGAATATCACAAGTGAGGTCATCCTTAAATCAATGATGGCCATGACTTGCATTCTAAGCACAGTTCCAGGTACACAGTAGGCACTCAGAAATCTACTCATGAATGAATCAGCGACCAACTTTGGATAGATTGCTCAACTGCTCTATAATATAATGCTAACTTTCTATATACAAAGGTGCCTGATTTTTTTCAAATTAAGTCTGGGGATTGATCAAGGCACTCTGAAACTCTGATATCAAGACAATCAGAAATCAAATGCCGCCATTTCAAGCAAAAGCCACATAAGGACGTGACATATCATATTCGAGATGCAACTTTCACCTTAGGCATCACTTCCTCAGGACGGGGTCTCCTGCAAAAGATGTTATTGCCCCTTGCGTTGTTAACTCTTCCTGAACAATTTTTTTCCCTTTGTAGCACATGCTACAACAGTAGTCTAATAACATTTGCATTACTCTATACTAAAAGTTTGTCTCCGGCTCTAGAATTTGGACACCTGAAGGTGAAGGTCAGTTGGGCCTTGCTGTTTGACTTCCTGTGTTTTGCATCTAGAAGCGCCTGACACATAGGAGTTTATACACACTTGTTCAAATGTTTATTTGGGCCAGGTGTGGTGGTTCACGCCTGGCATCCCAGCACTTTTGGGAGGCCAAAGCAAGAGTATAGCTTGAGGACAGGAATTTAAGACCTGCTTGGATAACAACATAGTGAAGCCCCATTTCCACACACACAAAAAAATCAGAAAGTTACCTACTGTTCAGATCATCACTCTTCTCATAACACAAAACTGAGAAAACAGTTCTTCCCTGGCCAATGGCGGTAACAGAAGGAACTGTACTCTTTATTTGTGGACCATTTTTTAGCTTTCAAAGCACTTTCATCACACATTCAGTCTCATGAGTCAAAGCCCCCCAAGAGTTCATGCAGAACTCCTTGAGGATTTGTATGAAGCTTTTAGAGAGCTGCGGCAGGTATAGAACCCAAGTACCCTGAAAGTTTTTTACAAATGATTTAGAGATATTCTCTATAAACAACTGCATAATATTCCCTCTACAAACTAGCTGGAACGAAGTCCTTTCACTTTTCTTTAAGTTCAAGAGCACTGAAATAAACACTGATTCCACATAAAATCTCCAGGTACTGTGGCATATGGCAGCCCCATTTTCTCAGAGGACAAAGGAAGGCGACCCGAGAGTTTCTGCTCATCACAAAGCAATGCCCCAGCGATTGCTGGGAAACTGACCCACACCTCTAGGGTTCCAAAGCTAACCTCCAAAACCTTTTCAGTGGTGCACCACCTGCAGAATCTGGTGAAAGTGAGAGTGAGAGAGAGCTGCCTATCTAAATAATACACTCAAATGCTCCTCAGAGATTTTTTTAAAGTGTTTTTAACTTTCAATGACTATGTAAAAATTCATAAGCAGAAAGACCACAGGGTAGATCAGAATCTAGGGGACAATACAGCAATGGAAGCCCCGAAATGCTCAGGTCCATGACAGAGTAGGAGTGAAATGGGCTCACATGGGTACCCATCATCTGCCTTTTTTCTTAGTAATCTGATTTAATACAACGTATTTGCTTTCCAGGCCATCAACACCTCACATTGTAAGTGAAGTAGCATATGCCCCATCATATATGTTTCTTGAATTCCACAGTAGGACAGGTCAAAGTCAAAAAAGTGAGCAAAACAAAGTAGCTGCTTTCCAGAAAGATTTTGTTCCACTTTTGAAGCTGTTCTGTTTGGAAGTCTGAGTTTACAACGAGAGAACATCTCACAGTTCCATCAAAATTCACGAATGCCAAAATGTTTTGATGTACATTGTCTAAGCTGATTCACATGGCAATCTTGTGAAATAGGCAGGTCAAGAATTTTACAAAGAACATGCAGTCCCAAGAGGTTAAATGTCTTGACCAGGGAGCATGACTTGGAAAGGAAAAGAACTAGGACGAGGAGAGCTTGCAGTCCACAGCCCACCGGTGTTCCTAAATAGCTCCAGCATCTGGTTTCCTAAGCGGCTGTGCGTTCACCAAACAAACCATAAGACAGCAGTGTCTACACATATGTATATGTAAAGGGGCAGAAAACACTTCCATCAAAATAATGGTCATATCTCCATCATGTCCTTATATAAATTTGGGTCTTAGAAATCTTATAAAATTCTGATGTACTCTTCTTGATCCTGTATCAAGTGTGCACAGAGAGCTTGACTTTGCATCATAAAAGGGAAATAAATAAGTCTTCCCCTCCTATAAAAGACCAGGAACCTTTCTGATAAGCATTAGAATCTCTAAATCCGAATTGTTCCCCAGTCTATTGCACTGCAGGCTAGGGCTAAAGAGTGGGATAAAACTCAAAGCATAATCTCCCCTGTTCAGCTGGGTGAGGGTAATGGGATGAGACGTCAAGGCAAAAGAAACAGTATCAACCACTGAATATGGGTGAGGGTGGGGAGTTTTTTTTTAATGGGTGACTCAATTTCTTGAAAGGGGAAGAGTTCAATTCCTGATGTAAAAATACCTTATCTGTGAACACTAGAGTTTAACAGAAAAGAAAAATCAACATTCACTGACTCCAAAATCTCGTTTTCTTATCTCTAATATACATGATTCTGTTACACTGCACAGTATGAAAGGTAAAGATGGAAAGGTCTATCAAGTAAGGTCCCTAGGATGTAAGGGTCAAAGCAAGACAGACACATATAACAGGCCTAACTCTGACCTGCCTTTTTCGATTAAGTCAGCCCTGTTCTTTTGTCAGGAGTTTCCGACCTTAGATACATATTAGTTTCTAAATATACTGGGGACTCAATGCTGCTTCACACCAATGAAACCAGAATCTCTGAGAGCAGGAACTGGCTGGTCCAGGGTTTAGCTAGAATTGAAAGCCTCTGGCCTTTGTGCTTTGTTATCTAGCTTCAAACACGGTATCAACATGATGGCATTTTCATATTTTCCTCTGAAAGAAATATTCACAGGACCGGGACTAATGGTCACAAGAACCAGAAATATCAGAATTTGACAAGCTGAATGAGTTTACTGCTTGTATATAAGCAGAAATTCTTAAAGGCAGTCACAAATACTACACTTAATAAATACTAACCATTGTTTAAAAATACAGAAAAAATACTTGTAACTATATAATGTGCATTTCATTGGCTTAAGTATTAAGCAATATCAAAATATTTATCTTCCACTGAATAATGGTCTTGTACAGTATTTGATTTTTGGAATTTTCCCATAGTTGCAAGTAAGAAAAGGCAAAGAGAGAAACCAGAAGTGCAAGACGCCGATTGCCCAGGTGTATGAAATCAGTTCACAGGGAGTTTCCACGCTCAGAGGACAAAGAACTTCTCAGAAGCATGACTGCAATCGAATTGCTCATTCTTACTCAACACAGAACTACTGAGAAGGATGTTGCTGCATTCCCACCTCAACTGCCTCATGAGTCGCCCGACGATGGCGGAGTCAACAGAGATAAGTCTGGCTTCTGGAAAAACCAAGATGCCAGCCTTCTTTATTTTTAAACTCGCACTAAAGCTCTCCCATACTATCTGGTTGTAAGGATTGTGCAATAGATGCATATGAGCTAAAGCCAGAGAATGAGTAACTAAAGCTGGTCTCAATTGTACACTCAGGCAAATATAACTACAAAAACAAACTGCATGCCATTTTTAGCATTTTGTAAAAATCTACCCACATTGAAAGGAAAATTGCACTAAAAACTTTAAGATAAAAAAATTCAAGAACCATCTAAATAGATTTGATATGCTAATTAACCTAGGTGGCCTAGTCAGGAAACTATTGAGGATTTCTATTTTATGAAGTTTCCTATTAAAAGGCAATAACTAGCTTCTACACTAAGCATAAGGAAACAGTAAAGGTTGGGGAAGAATGTTGACTCTGTGTCTATTTCTAGGTCAGGGAGTTCTAGTCAAGTGGAACCGGGTAAGTGGTAGAAACTTACATGATTTATTGCAGATTGAACAGCCTTTATGTAATGGTTCAGTTGGCGATCCATGATAGCAAATTCAAGCATTGCCTTGTCCATACTACATTCACTACTCACTTCAGCTGGAAAAAAAAGGACACGTATTACTTCCATTTAATATGCCACATTGGGGAAAAGCTGCCACAATATAATCTACATCCATGGCCTAAACAATTGTGTCAAGTTATTACATTTTTTAAAAACACCTCCTCAATATATGCCTGCTTCATCCGAAATCCTGAGACTACATTCAGAAGAAGAATGCGCAAGGCATTGGGAGAGGGGGCTTGTGCTCAGGGGGTCCAGCGGCGCGCTTCCAATCTGGTCTTAAATCAGTCACTGCAGCTCTCGCAGCCTCTGCTCCCTCATCCCGGAAAGCAGCCCAGCCACACATGGACCACAAACACTCCCAGGACTGTTAAAGATCACATAAGGACAATTTCCACGTCTCATAATTATTTGGACCAATCCTCCTACTGAAAACAACTAAAAATACTAGATAAAATAGAACAACAACGACAAAATCTTCTTAAATGCAAAAGAGTCACATGATAGCAAGAACTAGCCAGGGAAAACCTAGGGAACACCAAGAAAGAGACACGGGCAATGTACACCAAGTCACACACCCTCCCCCGGGGAGCTGGGAGCCCCACTCCTTGGGATGAAGAGGAATCAGAGTGCCCCCCACTCCCTGCCTTTGGACTGCAAGGAGGCTGGCCTTGGCTGTGAAGCAGAGCAGGGGAAAGGGGAGAGACCTGAAAAAATGACCAAACACCGGCCTCCTAAAAAAATGACCAAACACCGGCCTCCTAAATGCGCCGCCTGGCTTCCCCTAACCAGTTGGGGGAGCTGCATGCTCAGACTGCAGCGGGAGTCCCCGCAAGCAAGCAACAGGCCGAAACAAACATAGCTCCTCTCCAGAGAAGACACTTCCAAGCTAGGTTCATCAAGTAATCCCTACAAGTAATCCTTAAGGATTATGAGTAGGCCACAAGGGGAAAAACATTAAAACAAAAAGAAAAACAAAAAACCTCCCACACCCTAAAGCACACAGGAAAACAAGTCACCAAGAGTTAAGAATCAGCAGAAACAGACCCACAAATGTTTCAGCTATTGCAATTATCTATTAGTCAGAACAAGACACAACTATGCTTAGTATGTTTAAGAAATTAAAATATCCTCAGGGAACAAGAGCCTAAACAGAGTGACTAGCACACTAGAAAAGCAAGGCAATGTCTTAAAAAGTGCTTGCAAACTGTTTCTTCAAGCTCTACACATATAATTTATAGATCAGTAAGGGACACAGTACATGGGATCATAAACTTTTTAACATTAAAAAAACGGAGTGAAAAGTCAGTCGAGTTAGCCTTAACTCACACGTGAGAACGCACATAATGACTCTCCATTCGAGCACCTCAGCTCAGACAGACTCAGTGTTTCTTGTCTACTTGGAAGAAAGAGGCAAAACTCATTCACACGAGGTTTTTAAAAAAAGATCTTCTAAACGACGGTTTAACTGTACAATAGCCACTTACAAGCACGGCCCACAGACCACCTCCAAGTTAACGTGCTTCTGGGAGAAGGCCTCTTAGCCTGGAACAGTCGGACAGCACAGGGCACACACATCTCTCAGTGGAAGTGTGTCTGGGGGTTGGGGAAGGGTAAAATATTTATATGAGAAACATCTGCATTCACATTTCCCAGATTAAATATATTTTTAACAAAACGGTGTGTAAGAAAAGGCTCAAGTCATGTTTCAGATAAAACTGCTAGGCCATTAGAGTCAACGGTTGATGTTTAGAGAATGTCTTAATATCAACAAAAGAGACATGCTGCTTAGAATATTGGTGGTACCAACATGTACCTACACACAACTATTTGTTAAAAATCATATTGTTTGATGATCAGGAAGAACATTTTAAACAGTTTACACTCTAATATGATAGTTGGTGATTTATTTACAGGTGTTTTACTGTACACTTAGTTATATTTCAGTAAATTGGTTAGGGGTCTTGGTTAAACTATAATTTTTTTTTTCCAATTAAAGTAATGATAAATAGACTCCTGGTTTCACACACACGTTATCTAGTTAAGAGAAAGTTTGCAGTTTTTTGTTCTTTTTTTGAGTTGGAGTCTCACTCTGTCACCCAGACGGGAGTACAGCCCCGGCCACTGCAGCCTCGACCTGCTGGGCTCCGGCGATCCTTCCGCCTCAGCCTTCTAAGTAACTGGAACTGCAGGCGCATGCTACCACGCCCGGCTAGTTTTTGATTTATTGTAGAGATGAGGTCTTGCTAAGTTGCCCAGGTGGGTCTCGAACCCGCAGACTCAGGCAATCCACTCACCTCAGCCTCCCAAAGCGTGGGATTACAGGCTGAGCCACCAAGCCCAGCTAGTTTTGTGTTCTTAATGGGTCAGTATATCTGATCAGTATTAGCTTCTGATACTGGAACTGGTAAAAAAAAAAAAAAAAAAAGTGGAAAAGCTAGTAACCTGAGAAAGACTAAGACCATAAGCTCAGCCGGACTCGGTGATTCAGCCTGTAATCTTGCACTTTGGAAGGCAGAGGTGAGTGGATTGCCTGAGTCTGCGGGTTCAAGACCAGCCTGGGCAACCTGGGCTATCTAACTGCAAAGTCTGTACCCTTGCCTGCGTGTGCAGAAAAGGTGTTTAAACATGATCACAGCATTATCCACCATAGCAAAAACATGGAACCAACCGCGGTGCCCATTAGTAGTGGATGGGATAAAGAAAACAGGGCACACATACACCATGGAATCCAGTGCAGCCACAACAGAGAACAAAATCGCGTCCTTTGCAGCAACGAGGATGTAGCTGGAGACCATCCTTCTAAGTGAATTACCACAGAAATGGAAAACTAAATCCCGCACATGCTCTTGCAAGTGGAAGCTGAACACTGAACACAGGTGGGAGTAAGCACAGGAAGAGCAGGCACTGGGGGCTCCTGAAGGGGGGAGGGGGAGCAAGGGCTGAAAAACCACCCATCGGGGGCCACGCCCACCATCTGAACGACGGGCGCAACAGAAGCCCAAACCTCACCGCCACGCCACATACCCATGACTCAAACTGGCACGTGGACCCCTTGAATCTGAAAAAAGAAATCTGGGGGAGGGTGATGGAGGTGGTGGCAGAGGTGTTTAAACACAAGAAGGACAAGCACCACCAAGCCCTCCACAGACATCCAGGGACCAACCTTCAGGCAGAAGGAAGATGAGACCCAAAGCCACAGCTTGGCCCAAGCGGCTGCAGGCAGGAAGCGACCTTCCAAGTGCGACACTGGGCGCGCCACCCGCTCCTGGAAAGCTCTTTCTAAATCCCTTAAGCCCAGGAAACTGATAACAAACATAACATGATTTTTCCCATGTAGAAGACGTTTTAACACTACTGAAAAGAGTGACCTTTTGCGTCCCCAAAGCTAATCTCAAGCCTTATAAAAGCAACCAGGTTACTCAGTGAATGCTTGGAGAGTAAGTCCACACTCCCACTGAAAGAGGGCGACCAGTGCCAGGCCAGGGCACTGGCAGTGACAGAGATGAAGCCACTACACACGGACCCCAGGCAGTGGAGAGAGGCAGGAAGAGTCCTGGGTGGCTCCTGTCACAGCGGCTTCTGAGTGGAGCAGGGAGGCAGAAACCATCGTTACTAGTCACACCTCTGACTTGCCCCCTCCTCCTCCCCCTCTGCCCCAGGCTGGGGAGGCCGGGGTTATTCACATTTCTTCACGTACCATTCTGTGAGCACTGATTTATTACAAGTCAACCCTTGCTTTCGCTAATCATGTGAATCTGTGATCTACGCGAACTTTCATTTACAAGCCAATAAATACATGAAGAAGTCTCACGGCGGGGAGGGGGAGCCTTGGTGACTCTGCGAGACCTGTAACCTGGTACACTCATTAAGAAACTGTTCCAGGAAGTTAGTACAATAACCAGCTGAAATATATCCCCCATCCCCACCCCAGCATATCAGGTCCAGAGGGCACAGATAATCTCTGATTTACGTTATAAGGTTCCAGCAGTTTCTGTCAGTACACCAGGGCCAGAGCCCTCGGCCTGCACACTGGACATCTGCATCCAATGACCTGGGTCAGCACCATCTTAAACTGTGCCAAGCCACTGTGGACTGAGTGTTATTTAGTTCAGGAAGGGCCACTGAATCAAAATCATCCTTTAAATATGGCTTATGTTTTGTCTGGTTTTGTTTTCTCCTGCTCAGTGGCAAACTCCAGAAAAACAACAACAGTCATCGAAGGAGGGCTTCTTTTTAGACTGAAGTACTCTGATCCTTCATAAAATAAAAAGTCTCTGAATGGATGCTGGCCTGCATATAATTTATCTAAAGTCAAACAAACCTATAATTATGCAATCTCAGCAGTCACACCATTCATTAGACGCGTCATCTGTTACTCAATGTCAAAAATGCACTGACAGCAATATTATAACTACATTACTAACCTCTCTTTTTGAAGCGTTGAATATTACATGATCAGTAGAACATCAATCAGAAATGGGTGATTCAGTGTTGTAATCAAACTCAGCCCAAAAATCATGAGACCTCAAACGATGGCTGAGGCAGGAACAAGTGAGAGAGTAGGAAAGTAGATGGTAACACCCAGAGCTGGCCTTCTCAAATGTGAAAGGCTGGGGCAAACTGAAGAAGAGAGAGGTCTAAGAAAAGAAAGCAAGGGAGGAGACAAACTCGCTATTTTATAAACGAAGGCTCTCAAGTACAACTCCAGGTCCTTGGTGGCTACAGACGTGGGTAGTAAGCCCGCGCGGCACTCTGGCCGTTCTCACGTAGCACAGAGTTTATCCAGCAGCAGTTCCAACGTGCGCTAGAGTCTGTGACACCTTGTTCAGTGTAGTGCCATTCTCTAGGCCACAGGCTAAAAAGCACCAGCAGACGGGGAGGGGGTGCGGAGAAGCAGAAGCTTCTTCATCTTTGCTTCCCAAGGCCAGGTGGGCATGGTCAACAGACCAATCAACCTTTCATTCCAGATCAGCACCCAGTTCTGCAAGAATGAAAAGGCAGAGATTCCTGTTTTGACCAGCTATTCTAAAGAGGGCCCTTCCCCAACCACAGCTGGCCTACAGCTGTAGCCCAAGGCATGCACTGGTGAGAAAGAAACTCTTCGCCAAGGCCCAGCCCCAGGCTTCAGAAGCAGAGATGAACAGGCCCTGCAGTCCAGGGGACGCAGAGCCAAGCAAGACCCCTTGTCATCCCAAGGGTACTCAGGAGAATGGCCCCCAGCGAAACAAGGCTCCTCCTTCTCTCCCCGGCACACCCACACATTCCTCTGCACACCACCTCATCGCACCAGCAGGCATCCTTCTGCTTTGCTCTGCTGTCTATGATCTCAGCCACAATGTCCTTTTCCAGAATCTTCCCTATCTACAGAAGAGAACCAAATACTTCATACCTTAGAGGTCCATAAAATTTCTTGACCTTTACAACCAGGATATGTGTATGTGTCTGTGTGAATTAGAGAGGCACACCCTCAAGATAAATTTCACTTACTTCTTTCGAAAAACCTTATATCTGACACAACTGCATGGTTTTGTCTACGGCCAAGTTGTTTCTGAAATTTTGTCCCAAACCAACAAAAACTGCAGGATCAGGGGTTTTTATTCTACAAAGCCATGCACAGGCATGTGTGAACAGGAGCACCACCAATTATACACAGTGGATTAAATTCAAGTCCATGCATTTTATTAGTGAGGTACCAGGCTCGAGTAGCACAGACACTGGGTGTTCTCAAGGGGCTGCTGACTCCAATGCCACGTGACTCATACATCCAGAAGTATCTGGTAAATATTAAATGTCATAAAGTACAAATGTCCATTTTGGCAAGGAGGAAGAAAGGGAGGCAGGAGATTACCTAGATTGTATTTTAAACTTCTTAGAAGAAACGGGACATAATTGGGAGATTTTACTTTCTGAAACAGGAAATAGGAATTTCCTAATCTTTTCAAATTAAAACTTGGTTCTTCTATATTTTGTAAACAAGTCATTTATTCTTTTTGGACAAAATCAAACAAATGACAGTACAAACCCTACCCCAACCCCTTCCCACCAAAAAACAAACGAACGGTTACCCTTCTTCTCTGAAAGCACAGCTGCAGCCCTGCCTCGCAACACACACCGAACACACGTGCCTACTCTGCGAGTGTGTGTGCTTCCTGGCAGCCTGATGTTAAGCAATCGTTACATACTCATCAGGAGTTGAAAGTAATGACTTACTCATCGCTTGAGCAACATTTAATAGAAACTTGGTTACTTCTCACTACACTGTACTTTAAAGTTATAATTAGTTCTACACATAGATATCAGTGTGGTAAAATTAAAACTGAACGCACATTTTATAAGTGCCACCCACTGGAAGTCACAGGGAAGAGTAGAACAGTGCATGACAGCTGGTAAGCAGCTGGGTTCTTTACAAACACAGTGACTGTGGGAGAAATGCCACCTTTACAGACATCTTGGCCCACCTGACCAATTCCCTCTCTCAGAACACGGAAGAGGGAAGCCGCATGACACAGCACCGAAAAGCCAGCTCTGGAATCCGATCTCATTCAGATCTAGGCTCTGTCACAGATTAGTTGTGGAGTCCTTGGCATGTCATTCTGCTAGTGTCCCAATTTCCCCACACACATAATGGGCACAGTAATGGCACCTACACTTCACAAAGGTGACAAGAGGCCTAAAGGAGAGAATGCAAACAAAACGACCAGCACAGACCTGGCCCACAGGAAGCACTCACAAAACACTAGCTGTCCTAATTCTTACAGGAATGGACAAGGACTCTCAAATGAGATTAGCCTCAGTTCTGAAAACATTTAACCCTTGGAACCAAAAAGCAGCAAGTGAAGACCATCTCCTGAACTCTCCCAGCTATTTTTGCGAACTTCCAAAGCACTGGGTTGAACTCACAAGACTGCCGTGCTCAGTGGGAAGCTCTGTAAACGCTGTGCCCCCTCCAGTCATTTACCCAGCAAATGCTTATTGAGCACTTACTACATGCCAGGAGAAGGAAAGATGATTTGCAGCAAGAAGCGGCAGCAGCCAAGGCTGCCTGCAGAAGGCAGGATGGGTTGAACAGGGCAGGGTGAGCTTGCACTGCGCCCTGAAGGATGAGTAAGTGGTAAGTGCGCCTCAGATGTGCACCAGGTGGGGCAGAGGCTACGCAAATGCCCTCATGCCCCTCCACAGAGACTGGCTGAGAGCTAAAGCGGCACCGGGAATGAAGAGGAGAAAGGCGCAGATTTTCAAAAGGAACCAGTCTTCAAGGATCACCTACCACGGCCAGGTACTCTGTATCCATCCTTGGTTACAACAGGGGGAATTAGGTATTCTAAACACACTGCAGAGATAAGGAAACAGATGCTCACAGATGCAAAATCATTTGCCCCAGGCCACACAATTCACACAAGGCAATTACAACCGACCTTGAGACTGACTTAAAGCTAGCATGCAAGGCACTGGCGGGTGTCTGGATGCTCCTCAGAAATAATTTGCTCTCTGCTGAAGGAGATTCTCCTAAATATTAGCTTATTTGAGGAGAGAGAAAGTGGAAGACAGAGACTGACTGCTACACAGCTCTACCTCAGCGTGATGGAGATCACGCATTATTTATTTATTTTTTTGAGTTGAAGTCTCACTATTTATTTATTTTTTTGAGTTGAAGTCTCACTCCATTGCCCAGGCTGGAGTGAAGTGGCATGCTCACGGCCACCCCAGCATTAACCCGCTGGGCTACAGCGATCCCTCCGCCTCAGCCTTCCAAGTGGCCGGAACTACTAGCACACACTACCACACCCTGCTAATTTTTTTTTCTTTTTACTGTAGAGAAGAGGTCTTGCCAAGTTGTCCCAGTTGGTCTCGAACCCGCAAGCTCAGACAATCAGCTCACCTCGGCCTCCCAGAGTGTTGGGATTACAGACTGAGCTACCAAGCCCAGCCAAGACTATGCATTTTTCACAAGATGGACAGGTATTTCCCTAGAATGTGTATTAATATTCCATTAATTACCATGGCAATGGTATGACTCAAAATATTATCTGAAATAAATTCCATAATTAACCAAATGAATAAAACCATGGGAATCAACACCCACCAGTCATCAAGAGCACTACGAATACCGGGATTCAGGCATCTGTCACTTTAAAACGGGTCCACAGGCCCCCTTGGGCTACCAATTAGAAGGTGTCCACATTTTCCAGTCAGTTCTGTCTTTCATTTGCCTTCACAGCTGTTTCCCCGTCCTTCCTGCTCACTTCTGTCTGTCTGGTCCCTGGTGGACTAGAAGGAAACAGCGACTTCAAGGCTGTAAGCAGTAATTACAGCAGCATTTCCCAACTAACATAATTTCAGTAACTGTCACTTCTCCCTGGCTGTGCCAAGTCTTGTCCACACTGTGTGACCTTCAGCCTGACTTTGACCAAACACCAGAGCTCTTGCGTGAATTGGTCACAGTAAAGACAAAAGAAAGTGAGACTTAAACCTCATGTGATTACAGAGAAAGCTAGATGAGAAGGCAGACAAAAGCACTGATGCCTCAAACACAGGAGACTCTTACTACAGGGGAGCTATTGTGCTGTATTAACTGTGCCTTCCAGTATTCCCAACACAACTTTCTACTTCATTTAAGCTAGTATCTATTGAATCATGGAGTTTTCCCATCCATTTTTTTAAAAAATGCTTCTAAAATTAACAAAACATATGGTTTAAAAAGTAATAAGTGACTCATGCCTGTAATCCCAGCACTTGGAAAGGCCAAGGTAGGAGGATCACTTGAGCCAGGAGCTCGACACCAGCCTAGGCAACACAGTGAAACCCTTCTCTATAAAAAATTTTTAAAAACAAAAAATTTGCCAGGTGTGGTGCCAGCTACTTGGGACGCTGAGGTGGAAGGATCGCCTGAGCCTAGGAGGTTGAGGTATGGCGAGCTGGGGTCATGTCACTGCATTCCAGCCTGGGCAACAGAGTGAGACCCTGACTCAAAATAATAATAATAATAAAGCACATGGTTGAAAGTTCAAACGGCGTTATAATGTGATGTCTCCATCCCCAAAACTTCTTCCCCAGAGGCAGCCATTGCTATGAGGTCCTGGGACCACAATCCCATAGAAATAGCCTACGCGTAGGACACCGCTTTCAGAAAGATCTACAGAAATTAAAATATTTGTAGAAATAGCAGAAACAAGGCACTCAAAGGGCTAAGCCTGAGGAGAAACTGCCCCCAGGAAGTCTCCCAATGAAATTGTTAAATCCAAGATTTTAAATCCGAGAGACCACAAAGAGCCAGCTCCGATGCAAACACATGAGGGTCTTTACTCAGGCTTGAGTCTAGGCTCATGTTTGAAGCCAATGCAGCGACTTCAGGGATGAGAGCCCCGACCCAGGTTAACACGCACCTTTTATACATAATTCTGAAGGGGTGGGGTGGCTTTACAAACCTGTGCACACAGGATTGGATAAAAACAATATGGCGCAGTTACAAAGACCTTGATTGGTTGATTCGAGTTTGATTTGCATGGGCTCAGGCTTAGTTACTTGTGATGGACAAGTAACTGCCAAACGGGTGGAATGGAATGCCAGATAAGCTAGGTTTACACAGTCACTGCGTGTAAATTAACTTTGGCATGGGAGCCGGAGGTTTGAACCAACACAGAGCCCACCAGGAGAGTGGCTAGCGCCTCAGAGTCTACCGAATATAGTGAACGTGAGTTAGGAATATATATAAAATGCAATGAATACTTCTTTTACAGCAAGTATAGTTTTCTTTTGAATCTCTTGGGTCTCTCATTCCCCCCTCTCAGAGGAACCTAAAGATAAGACCCAATCATGGGTCTACATAGGTTTCTTTAAGGCTATTCTGAAAAATGGGTAGAAGAGCTGAGACAACACGGGTGGGTACCAAGTGGTAGGTACTGCTGCTTAAGCATCATGAGTTGAACGATGCTGACTTAATTTTTAACAAAGGCTATAAGCTTGTTGATGATGCAAGGCCCAAAATAAGTAGGGAAATTAAAACAACTAAAGGGCCAACTATGGTGGAAATTAATGTAGTAAACCAGGGGGAGTGGTTAAACCATGCTTCAAACCAATTGAGCTGTTGCTCTCGTTCTCCGAAACTACAATAGTAGAAAATAGAGACAATGAAATTTTTAAAGTTAACTGTATTTCTATTAAACCTTAAAATATCATGATTGGTCATGCTTGAACTAACATGATTCTTCGACGTTAGCATGACCTATTTTATAATTTTTTTTATGAATAAAATAAATTTAATTTTTATAATAGGTAGAGAAACCTTACACTAACTGTAGCTAAAGCTGGCCTAAAAGAATGCAGCCCAGTTTAAAGTACGTGTTGGGCTCTCAGGAATGTGG